ACAAAATGTGGTTTTATTGTCCTAACACTTGCAGTTGCAAGTGTTGTCATAATATAACCACAACTATTTACCGTTTTGTTAATAACTGGCCTTAACATAAGGCTAAAGTTGATGTCTTTGGTCTCGAAAATGTTTGCTTAGGTCTTAGCCTTGAAACTTTTAATCTTGGCCTTGACCTTAAACTTTTGGCCTTGGTCTTGGCCTCGGTCTTGCTACTTTTGGTCTTGTTAACAACTCTGTTATGCAGTAATGCAAAATTTTAACGATGTTTGTGACTATTTTAATAATTTTGATTACTATATATTTGATTTATTTAATTATTGAATTATATTTTGATAATATTAAATTTGTGTATTTTATGCTGCTGTGTTTTCTCTTGGGAATATACTATTTTTACTTTTTTTTAAACTGGCGTGCATTTTAAAACATGAAGTTCAATTACTTTGTACTAATAATTTGTTTTGTACTAGTAAGGTAACCATGGAGTTACTTTGACATTTTTAGGTAACATTGACACAAGTTTGATTCAATTTTTTTATCTGTCACCCGTTAACTATTGTTTAAATTATTTTAAAATTTCCACAGCAGCCAGATGTGGAATAAACAACTTAAAACTTTAGTTAAAAGAAAATTAAAAACATACTATAATATTATCTTACATATATTTATAAGATGTTGATTTTAAATACTATGCATTTAAGATTTTTTCGTAGTATTTTCTTTGTAAAACTCATATACTTCAATTTTTGTATAACATTGACTGTAATGCAGGCTTTCTCAGGAAGGCGTGCGATTTCACGCCTTTGTATGACCACGCAAAAAATAATGTTTTAATGGTTTGACCACGGCATATTTACAAAATTTAAAACTGAGCTACAAAAATTTACCTAAACTCATCTAGAAAAAAAATTGTAAAAAAAAAAAAATATTAACAAATTAGAAAGTAAAAAAAATGCTTAGTTAAAGCAAAAACACAAAAAAATAAATATATATATAACGCAACTAAAACAAAACTCATCAAACTAAAATGCTTAGTCTATTTAATTTACTCATTAAAAAACCATTTCATCAATTGTTTCAATATTTGTATATATTTTTTATTTATTTAATATGTTCAAAAGTTAAACATATCTCATAGAAAATACATAGTTATATAAATAAAATAAAAAAACATTTTATTAATACTTTTTAATTAATTAGAAGTGTTTTTTTTACTTCATTAAAACATTTTCGATAATATAAAAGCATTTAAGATCAAACTTATTAAATTGAAACGGCTTTCTAAAACTTTTTTTTTTTAACAAAATTTTTGTTTATCTTTTTAAATGCATTAACTTTATTCATTCTAATATTTAAATTTGTTAGGAGACTTTCGTAATCGTAGAATGTCATCGTTTATAAAAACAAAATAATTTTTTATTTTTTAATAAAGTTTATTTTAGAAATGAACACTTAATCAATTTATGTTTTAAATTAAAAAAATATATACAACTGTCAATTATATTTCAAAGACAAAACCTTTTTTCAGTAAATTGTTACTGAAAATAATTGTTTGATGAGTTAATTTCACTTTTTTTAAATATTTTTTATTTAGCGTTTTTTTAAAATGTTTTTTAAATTAGCCGCGGTCAAACCGTCATAGCAAAATGTAAGTCATATATAGACGTGAAACCGCACGCCTTTCGGTGAAAGCCTGGTAATGTCAAAGTCAACCCATGGGTCAAAAATCAAGCAAGAATTAGCAGAATGTTCTAGATCTTATGAATTTTCCACAATTAAATGAAATGAAGTTAAACAAAAAAAACACGAAAGAGTTAATTAAAAAAAAAATGTATCAAAACATCAAAAGTCTAAAAACACAAGGCGCTTGCAGAAAGTTAAAATCCACACCTAATAATGTTGTATAATATTGGTAAGAAAAAAAAATCAGGATCTCAAAAAGTTAGCAAAACAACAAAAAATTTGTCTAAAAGAAATCCATCAAAAAATGACATCCCTGAGGGACTTCTTTGGAATCAGATAATAAGTCATTAATGTGTTGTAGAGCTATAGTTTGACAATTCTTAGATACTAATATCAAAGTATAATAAATATATTAATGTCATTAAAAACCTCATTAAAAAAGTAACATTGACAGTTGCACACCAGCGACAAAGTCAATTACCTATCAATATTAAATTATCATGATTAAATTTTTTATCATATTATTTTATGGCTGCAATATTTGTAAACATTGGTAACTTTTTCATTTTAAAATTATCTTATCACATCAAAAAAAATAATATATTTTTTAAAAATGTGTCAGTATTATACCACTTTACCTTATACTTTGTACTAGTAACCAACTTTGTACTAGAACCTAACTTTGTACTTGTATATTTTGTATTAATAACTATGTACTAGTATACCTTCTATTAGTAACTAACTTTGTACTAGTATACTTTGTGTTAATAACTATGTACTTGTACAATTTGTATTAGTAACTAAATATAGAGAAAATGATGAGGTTGAATTTGTATTTTATATTAAAAAATTTTCCTAATATTGTTATACACACACACACACACACACACACACACACACACACATACACAAACACATATATATATACATATATATATATATATATATATATATATATATATATATATATATATATATATATATATATATATATATATATATATATATATATATATACACACACATATATGTGTTTTTACCAATCATGATATAATTGTTCATGAAGTTTCATCTTTATATAAAGAAGTTGAATAATTTTTTGTTTTTTGGTTATTCACCTCCTCAAGGCCGAGAAGGCCACTACAGATGAGGAGGCTACTTAATAGTGGTTATAACCCTCTCTTAACTTTATAATTCCGAAACACGAACCTTGACAAACAAGGTAAAATATATAAAATACTATTTTAGAACCTTGACAAACAAGGTACTAAAATAGTAGTGACTTAGTAAACAATTCAGTTATTGAATTAATAAAAACTGCGAAAAAGTAGGTGGTCAATCGAAAATACTCCAATTTAATGATTGTTGGTGGTTTTAATTCCCCGAATATTATTTGGAATGAAGATAGAACTATTGAACTAAAACTAAACAAACAAGTAAAGCGTTTATTAATAATTTGAAAAACAATTATTTACATCAAATTGTTAGCATACCAACTTTTCAAATGTCTATTGATAAACCAACAAATGTATTAGATTTAATAATGTGACAATCTAGATTTAGTAATCAACATTGAATTTTTTTTTTTTTAAATTTTTTTTTTTTTTAATTCACCTCCTCAAGGCCAGAAGGCCACTACAGACGAGGAGGCTACTTATTTTGTGGCTATAACCCTCTCTCAACTCTATAACTCCAAAACACGAACCTTGACGAACAAGGGACGTGGTGGGGATCAAACTCGGAACCACTCGTTTATGAAGCGAGCGCTCTACCACTACACCACTACCGCATGATTTATAATATGATGCTCCACTTAGTCAAATTACTAAAGGCCATTACAACTTAAAATGGGAAACAAACCTGTTCAATTCATGTGACAAAAAGCTCAACAGTAAGAGATTTAATCTTTGAAAAGGAAAATACAAAGAATTAAATCTCTTGTTTAATAAAATAAATTGGGTTGAAATCTTCGATAAAACGTCTACAAATCAATGTTATGAATACTTTCTAAAAATTTATGAAAAAGCTTGCAAACAATTCTTTACCACTTTAGACCCACTAGTTCAATTAAAAATCCATGCATTAAAAAGCAAATCAAGAATTTAATAAGAAAAAGACGTAGTTTATGGTGTGCTATGAACTTCAAGAATACAAACAAAGATTATAAAATACGTTTAGCAAATGATGTAAAACATAGTCCAAAACGCTTCAATGCATACACACAAATAAAAAATCAAACACAAAAATACTAGCACTTGAACCTAGTGACAATAAAATAATAACTGATAAAAAAGCCATTGCAAATCTTCCTAATTCAGTATTTGTCAAAGAAAACCAAAACCTACCACCTTTCATCAATAAGTCAATTATTTGAATGTGACTCAAGAACTAAAAGAAGATATTATAAGTATTTATTAGAACTTAATAAAAACAAATCTCTTGGTTGCGATAACATCCGTCCCTTTGTGATAAAGTAGTGTGGAGAAGGGTTCTCTAAACCTTTATCTATAATATTCAAGAAATCGATTCATTCAGGAGAACTGCCAGAATTATGGAAATATGCAAACATAACACCACAAAAAAGGAGTCAAAAGAATCTGCTCAATTACAGACCTATCTCTTTAAAATCGATACCAAGTAATATAATGGAAAAAATAATTAAAAAAAACCTGATAATTTATATAATAGAAAACAATATATTAAGAATCCATCAACATGGGTTTGTACAAAATAAAGGGTGCCTAACAAACTTTTTAGAAACTTTCGATATA